GCAAAATATCTAATGAACCTATGGATGGATTTTAATACAACTCTCTGAAAGTAATCACTAGATATTAATCTACAATTTATTAACTTTTGGAGCCAGCTCTGTTCAAGGTGGAAACTCGTCTTAGGAAGCACAAACATAGTTTTAAATCTGTCCATTTTACATATATTGAGTTAAAACTTGATTTAGTTGTGGCTTAGTGTCGTTTAAAACTCGTAACTCCACGTATTAACTCACTATGTGAGATTTTATGCATTAAAACTTTAGTTTTAACTGTTGGAGTCTGCCTTGTTCGTCTGTTAGTAAAATATCCCATGAACTGCTGGACGGATTTTAATGAAACTTACAAACCGTCATCTCTGGATGAACATCTACTGCTGATTATGTTTTGGAATCCGTCCAATTTAAGATGGCTGCCACAGCTAATTGAAATTTGCAACACAAAAATGTCTAACTCTGACAGTTTTACAGATATTGAGCTAAAATCACACGTGGTAGTAGCTGAGAGTCATTCACAATAAATTCTGAGCATCATAAGGTCATTTACAAGGTTTGATCAAAACAGATCCAACTCTTTTTTTTCTACATGAGACAATCCTGATCTACTTCTCTGCCACGACTCCGACCTTGTCCTGCTCCTGGACTGAAAATAAAAAGTTCTGGGCCGTCTTTCTCCATCCTTCATGGTTAAATAAACCACCTTGATGACATCACTGCCAGGTTCTGGACCACTGTGCCCTCTTCTTCCTCAGCCTCTGTGGAATGAGGAGAACGTGGTTTCTACACGCTCTCGGTGGGAAACTTCACGGACACCCCTGAAAAGGCCGTTTGCATTCTTCTGTGAATTGTTCAAAGTCCAGAGCCACTTCAGTAATCTCTGGTTCCCTCCAGACTCAGGGTTTCTGCAGGACTGAGGGAAAAGAACCCGACAGAACCACACGTGGTTTGATGAGTCACGGTGTCTGGATGTGGGCACAGAGTCTCCTCGGAGCCCCACAGGGGGAGTTCCTTCCTCCTCCTCGGAGTCTTCAGCCCCAATCAAAGAGGCTCCTTCATGTTTTCTGTTTGCTTCTCATCTAAATACTCATGGTTGGACCCCCCCCCCCCCCCCCCCCAACTCCGCTCTGCTGGTTCTGGCTCTCATTTGCAGTGGAAACTAAACAGAGACTCATAAAGCAGCTTTCTCAGGAGACATCTGAAGCTGAAGCTGAGCTTCACGTTGAACAGTTAACGGTTAAACTCACGTCGGTCGTAAATAATCAACCGTGATCTAAATGAACGTAGAGAAACTGAAACTCCCGTGCGGTGAGTGTTGGAGGGAAGTGATTGATCTTGCGTGAGCTGCTCCGGGTTCTCAAAGTGAAACTATAACATCGTGTCTGAAAGATCCCGCATGTTCTCCTTCATCGGGTCTCTTTATCTCTGAAGAGATCAAAGCCTGTTCCTCAGAATCCAGATGACATCTTTGTGTTCTTTCTGCGCGGCATGGGGGCAAGGAGAGCGGACCGACTGGTGTCATGATGTTCCTGCAGGTTCCTCACCCGTCTGTTCCTGATCAGTCCCGATCAGCCACATGAGAACTTCATGAAACCAAACCAGATGCAGTTAAAGAGTTCCTGTCACCCGCCGCCTCTCATGCCAGAGTTTTAGACTAAAACCTTCTTGAGTTGAGAAATGTTGGAGCTGCATGAAGTGCTGGTCATCAGAGGACGACTCTCAGCTACTACCACACCAGATTTTGGCTCCACTTCTGTAAAATCCTCTGAGTTGTTTCCATTTTTGTGAAGATAGAGGTGGATTAGCTGTGACATCCATCTTGTAGATGTACACGCAATGACTATTTCAAGTTCAAGGTTCTTTATTGTCATTCGCATCACATGCGGTACATGAGGTGGAACAACATCATGTACTCGGGGTCCCAGTTACATCCAGCAACAGCAAAAATACAAAAGAACCAGTAATGAGATCTAAGATATAAACTAAGAAATGCGCTAAACACTAATAGAACAAAAATACACTGAATAGCAGCAGCACGAACACGAGTCTGTGTGAGCAGGTGAGGACGAATGAACAGCAGCATGAAATAAATCAGCAGCGTGAGATCAGCAGCATGGATAATCAGCAGCAAATATCGACAATCAAAGTGGCATTACAGTGATTTTTTTAACTTTGAGTTTTATTGAAATATGTTCAGTGGTTTGTGAGATATTTTGCTAACAAACAGTAATGACTCTACCAGTTAGGGCTTTTGTTTGGGACGATGCTCAGTTACTACCACACCAAATTTTATTACAAGATCTGCAAAACTGACTGACTGTTTTTTTGTTGTTGTTGTTTGTAAGATGACTTTACTGCGGTGGCCATCTTGAATCAAGTCCAGATGTTAGTTGGTTGTAGAAGCTAGTGATGATTTTCTGAAAGTTTAATTTAAATCTGTTCAGTGAAGATCTTTTGCTGATGTTACGAACACAGAAAACCCGTTATCGCTCAGACCTCAGCAACGAGTGAGAACAGTTCGTTTCAGTTTTATAGATCGAACGATTGTTTACATTTTCAACTCTGAACACGACAACAATAACGACCTCCACAGAGAAGTAAGATTTAGTATTATCAGCTGATACAGAGCAGTATGTGAGCTGGACACGGACAGATGCGTTTAAATCGGTGTCCATCAGGGATCAGCTCTCAGCCCCCTTTTTTTGTTTGCTGCAGTGATTGACAGGGTGATGGATGAGTCTCCAAGGACCAGAGGTGGAAAGAGTACTGAAAATTTTACTCATTTACAAGTAAAAGTACTGGTGTTATAAAAATACTTGAGTAAAAGGACAAAGTACTGTTCTCAAAAACTACTCGAGTATTAATTACTTTTTAACCAGTTGTTTTATTGTGTTAAATTAGTAAATAGATTACATGTTCTAAATTGTACTTGAGTATGAGTAAAATTACACACTTGAAAGAAATACTCGTGAAAAAGTACAAGTACCCCCCAAAAAATCTACTTAATTACAGTAACGTGAGTATTTGTAATTCGTTACTTCCACACCGCCAAGGACTAATGTGTTTGCAGACGACTTCTGCAGTGAGAGTAGGGAGCAGGTGGAAGAGAGCCTGGAGATGTGGCAGCTTCCTGGATGGTTTTGTCTGGGAAAATACGGTTTCCTGTGGAGCCTCCTCTAAGTAGCAGCTGGTGGGGGGAAAAAAGTTTTAATTTTTCTTCCAGTCTGTCGTCATGGTTTTCTGCTCACAGAGGAAGCTGATGGAACTGCAACGTGAGCTGTGATGTGGAGCTTTACAAACTTCATCTCGTTCTGACCCGTCCTCTACAGATTTCTGTGGCGTGGGGAACAGCCAGCTGTCGTTTCTTTTTTCCTGCTTCAGTGACGGAGCCGCAGTATGTGAGAGTAGAGCTGGACACGGACAGATGCGTTTAAATCGGTGTCCATCAGGGATCAGCTCTCAGCCCCCTTTTTTGTTTGCTGCAGTGCTGCTCCGCCCTAACGTGACGGAGGGTTTTGTAAGAGCACTCGTTTGTTTGCTCCTCCGTTGTCTGAATATTAACTGTCAGAGTTCCCTGACAGGAAACTGGCGTGACCTCCACAGTAACTCCGAGCCTTGAACTCCTGGAGCGACGAGGGCAGAGCATGTGAGCGGTTTGTACCCCCACCATGTGACTCGGGCTGCGTTCTGCTGCAGCCAGGATGCTCCCTCAGCCGCTGCTCCAAACACAGTGATGCTGTTTGCCCGTTGCACAGTGTTTCCATGGCGGGGAGATGTTACACACACATCTTTTCCCTCTGCAGCACAACTGGATTGGACCTGTGGTGACAGTAACTCCACCCCGAGGAAATAAATATAAGCCCCGAGTCCGTCTGGGTGCAGACTTTAGAGGTGACCTGTTGGATTTCTGTGGTTCATCACAGGGATCAGAAGATCTCACATCTGTGGCTTCTTTAGAGTCACTGACTGATCTGTGCTCACTGGTTTGGCTTTCTTTCTGGGATGTTTGTCCACTTCTCAAGATATTTTTATCTTTTCCTGGAGGAATTCCTCTGTTTGTTTCCCTGAGTAAATAACTTCCAGCCTGAGTAGCTGAGGGTGAACTCTGCCGGCTTGTCGTCCGTCCTGGAGCAGCTCAGCATCTCCTGCGGTTTGACGACGGCCGCTGAGGTGGAGGTGAGCGAAAGGACGATGACGGAGCCTGACGTGGACGATCTGCTGAAGCAGAGGGATCGTACGATCGTCTACAGGACACGGTCTGTTCTGCGCTCGGTGGTGTTTGTACCTCAGCCAGATCACACGTGGTGCGTTCAATGCCCGCCTGAAAAACGCAGATCAACCAATAAAAACTCCAGTCGGTGCAGAGGATTCCTCCTTGTAAGTGCAGCTGGAGGCTGAAACCACAACAGAGGAGTTTGTTCCTGAAAAACAAACTTCTCTGTTGAATAAACTGGTTTGACAGTTTGTGATAACTTGACTTTGTTTTGTAGCTCCTGTTGTTCGCAGGCTCCGTGGAAACGTCACCGGCGCCTCATAAATAACCACAAGATCGCCTCGGTTAACCTTCACTTAGTGCAGGTTGTTTTAAAGTTTTAATTGGGAGCTAAACTGGTTTTTGGCCTCAGCCATTCAGACTCCTCGATCCAGTTGTCACAGTTCAGTTTATGATGGTGAAGGAGCTGATTTTTGATTCAACAGTTTAAATAGTTGTAAATATTAATATTTTCCCTCACAGTTTGAGAGTCATAAATGTACCGGTGTCTATTCTTGTGTTTTTACATAGAAATGTTTGATTGACCTGATTTCTAATAAATTGTAAAAATATTATTAATAGTGGATTTTATTGTTTAAAAAAAAGAAGTCATGATTTTTGTCGTTTCACTCGCTCTACACTGGGAGAGAAGGGAGAGAGGACCAGATCAGTCCCAGTCTGCTTTACTGGCTCCTCCTCCTTCTCCTCCTCCCCTCTCTGCTGCTCCTGCCCTCCTCCTCCTCCTTCAGCTGTAGTTGCATGTGCTGCAGCCACAGTGAGCAGATCAGGGCTTGAGCCAAAGGCGAACACACCCACCAGCCGAGACAGGACTGCTTTATTCAGCGACTCCTCTCCACCGAGCTCACACTGCCACCAGATCAACTTCCACTCAGACCGTTCAGCAGGGACGACCTCCTCACACCCGTACGGTAGGACTTGATTTAATTTAGTTTTGTGACCGTGCACGGCTGGTTTGACTTGTTCAGGCGGCCTCGAGCTGCGAGGGGAGGAGGGGAATGTCACTTTCAGGAGCTTCACTTTGTGCTTCGTTTATTCCAAGTGGGCTCAGAGAGCTTGTGGGTGTGGGCGTGTGCACGACTCCCACCCACATGGGTGTGCACGCTCAGGTGGAGTTTGGTGCTTCCACCCACTCCTGAAGCAAAAAGGGAGGTGTTCTTCACCGTCTGTTCGGAGCAAAGTTAATGATCCTTATCACTTTATCCTTTTTATTACAACCTTATCATGAAGTCTTTCGTTTGATGTTTAAACCGCAAAACCTTGAAACAGGCATTAGCTTCAGTACCAGACATGGGGTGTCTTTATTTCGCTTTCGTTAAACCAGGAAGGCTTCTGGGAGCAAAATTCTAAACGAGCAGATGTCTGGTTAAAAATAGGCCGAGGACGTGCAAATTGAATTAAAGCTTCATCAACAGAAGGTTTTGATGCAATCAGCGCTGCTCCCTCTCATCATCAGGATGAATGTCCCCATAAGGCCGTCCTGCCCGATTCGTTGGCGTTCTGAGTCGAGCTCCTTTTCAAAGGCGCTGCAATCGGCTGCGAGGAGGAGAAAATGCAGCCGAACGCGCTGATCTCAGGAGAGTGGCTTCAATTAGCAGCTTTTTAAGCTGTTTTTCTCCATTTCAACAAAAACTCCAGACGGTTGAGGAGGAGGAGGAGGAGATGTGTTTATTTGTTTTGCCCTCCTCGATGCAGCTTTATGAGTAATTATGGAGGAGTTTAAAAGCCCTGTGAGGCAGCAGGAGTGTGTGGGAAACTTGATGAGTTGGCAACGGAAAAATGTTTTATTTTGAAGGAGAGACGCAGAACTTCTGGTTCCACTTTTAGAAAATGTAAAATTTTATGGTCCAGCTCTGTTTCAGCTGCAGAGGAGCGTTTCCTTCAGAGCTGCCCGTGTGATTCAGTGTAACTCCTCTTGGCTCTCCTCTCCCACAGCTCACGCCCGCCTGCTCGTCTCATCTGATCAATAATCGCCATGGAAACCCCGAGCCAGAAAATAGGCCGCAGAGCCGTGTCCCCGGCCCGCATCACCAGGCTGCAGGAGAAGGAGGAGCTGTGCAACCTCAATGACCGGCTGGCCGTCTACATCGACAAGGTGCGCTCCCTGGAGTCGGAGAACGCTTCGCTGCGGCTGCGGATCTCCGAGTCCGAGTCCGTGGTCACCCGCGACCTGTCGGGCATCAAGGCCACCTACGAGACGGAGCTGTCCGACGCCCGGAAGACCCTGGACCAGGTGGCGAAAGAGCGAGCGCGACTGCAGCTGGAGCTGGGAAAGATCAGGGAGGAGCACAAGGAGCTGAAAGCCAGGTAGGAGGAGCTCTGTTCCCAGAATGCAACTGGAGTGTTTTTATTTAAACAACGGCTTAAAGTCTCAGATTCAAATGTTCGGCTGCTTTGATGGTCGGTCGGGTTGTTTGTCGGGAACTCTCGTCAGTCTGGGAAACGTCTCTCGCACGAGAATTTATCAAAAGCGTGCTTCGTTCCGAACGAGAAACCAGATGAAACGGTTTTGTTTGACGACATGTTTACATCACGTTTGGCGTTCGCGTCCCAGCTGTTGCCCATCGAGCGCACGTTTGTTTCTGTTCAGCCGTCAACATTTAAAGCTTCTTAAATAAAGCTGCTGAGATGTTGCAACGTTCCTGCTGCTCTGCGTTGGGTTCACACCCAGTGTTCAGAACATCTGAGGGGGGGGGGGGGGGGGGCACAGACTCGCTCACCAGGAATGTGGGGCGGAGCCAGACGTGACGTTCGCTCCGTGGACGACATTCCCGACGGTTGACTCGGAGCGACTCATCGGTTCACAGGCCCGGCTCTGTTTCTTTACGCCTCGGGGCGGGGGTGTGGACAACACACCTAAACAAACTGCCCCACCTTCTCTCGACAGATCCTGCACTTAGGTTGAAACGTCTTTCAGGACAGATTAAAGACTCGCTTCAAAACAAACGACGTGCACGTTTCACCAGAACGGTTCTGAAGCAGAGCTGGGATGGATGTGGGTTTTTAAACGAGACGGTGCTGAAAGATTTAAACGTTGGAGGTTGTGTATCACATTTAAATGTGACTAACATGATTCAAAACTGCTAAATTAGTAAGTTATTTGAGAAATTGGTGGCAGTTTGCTATTTGAGTGTACAAAATTTACACTAATTTAAATATTATTGAACAAATTTGGTTTTCTCATTTTATGAAAACATCTTTAAAAATTGTTCTTACGAACGCTGAAGTGCCAACGTCGGATATCAGCGTCTTTAAAGACGTGTCCAAACGGACATTAACTAGAGACTGGACCAGAACCCAGAAGCTGAGGGGTGTCTACAGTTTTTAGGCCCCGCCCCTTTACATAAATGAATGGGATGTTTTCCTGACTAATAATAATTTTATACTTTGCTGATTCACATAGTTCCTACCATGCTACGGTACGTTAAAATATATATTTTTATTTTATGTTTTTATCACTTAAGGCTCAGAAAAAAGTGTCATGTGACCCTGTGATTGACAGCCCGTTAACGAGTTAGAGGACGTGCAGGCGGGACTTGTAAATCAAGGGTCCAAACATACAACATGGCAGCTGCCATTTATAAAAAAACAAACATTTTAGCTTCAGTTCTGGGAGAAGGTCTTCAGGCGTCTTTATGAATGTTCAGGCAAAGATTCAAGGTGATATTAGAGACGAGAGAGAAAATGTCCACACCTGAAGGTAGGAGGGAGATTTACTCTTATCTTGACTCGTTTATCTGTAGCCTTTAATCTGAACTCGTGCGCTGCTGTCATTGTTTTTACAAAGATCTGTATCTTGAGTCCAACAAAAACAACTTTTAAGAAGCCTTTCTTCAGAAAACAGTTGTTAATAAATAAATAACCTTGTTTTTTTTGTTACTGTATTACCAAAACCTCTGTTTTCATGTGGACAGGGAGTGCAAACGCAAACGCAGCATAAAATCAGTTTTTAAACCCGTCTGCTGCAGTTTAGTGGAGCTTGTTGGAGCCGACTTCTCTGGAATGAGTTCAGATGTTACCGAGGAGCTTCATTTGACTAAATGAAACCATTTGCAGTTTCAGTGTAATTTAAAACGGCCTCTGCCAACAGTTCCTGTTTTTCTACAAGCGCACATAAACAGAAAGATTTGTTTTGATGCCAAATGTTGCAAAGTGTTGGCGTTCAGACGTCTGAGCCGTTTACAGCTGGACGTTTCTGTAGCCTTGCTGATTGTGACGGTTTGTAACGTCCGGCAGCTGTTCGTTCCGTGATGTTTGTCCTGAAGTCAATCTGCAGCTCGATGAGAAGCCACAGATAATCACCGGGTGTTGATCGGACAGTTTCCAGCTTCTGCCTCGTGGTCGGCCTTTTGTTGCAACGCTCCGGTCTTTGTGGTGATATTTTCCAGCACTAGCAGCAGATCTGGTGCTTCTGTCGTGGAAAAGAGTTGTCCGCAGCCTCGGCTGCTTTCATCTGCTGTCCTCCGGCCCGGGTGTTTGGTTTTCTGTTGCCATGGCGTCGTGACGGGGCGGCGGTGACTCAGAGGTTTTTTACGGCTCCTGGAATGAGCTGACTGGACTCCCTGTGGTGGGAACTTGGCTTCATTAATGCACGCGGACGCTCGGCAGCTCTGCTGATCGTTTCCTGTGGACTCGGGGACAGGTGAGGCCTTCAGTGCCGCTCGGCTGAGTGGACACACCCGTTTGGCCTGAGGGCGTCGCACAGCAGCTCTTCATCTTTGTTCCCCTCCCGGAGGACCAGCTGCCAACCGTTGTCCCTGCAGAGGCTAAAAACGGTTTAAAGTGTGTGGAAACACACAGACATGGGTGGATGTAGAGTGTGGTTGAAACCTGGAGCTCCATGTGAAAACAAAGTATTAAAAACGTGTCAGTAAACTCCAAACGTGACCCCCCCCCCCCAGGCTGAGGCTCGTGCCTCGAAGTAACTCTCAGCTGTGCTGCCGGCAGCTGCAGGAGTCCGACTGTTCAGCCTTTCAAAGTAAAGTTGTTATACTTGGGGCAGCTGTGGCTCAGTGGTTGGAGCAGTCGTCCTCCAGTGGGACAGTTGGGGGTTCAATTCCACCAGCAGTCACATGTTGAAGTTTCTCTGGGCAAGACGCTGAAAACCTCACCGCCTCCGATGTGTGTCCATTGGTGGGATGTGATGAAGCTCTGATTATTCGTTGTATAAATATAATGAAGTGCTGTATGAACGGGTTAATGAGGTTGTAAACGGCTCCGAGTGTCTTGATCAGGTAGAACGGAGCTGTACCGTCTGTTTACCATTTAATGAACTACTAGAGCAATACGAGTTCATATCTTTACTCAGACGTTACTATTAGCGCTGTATTTTATGATGATTATTATTAGAGATGAGTAATGAGAGAGATGAGACGACTTCTGTTGGGACTTGGTGCTATATAAACTGAATTAAATGAATTATAATCCACCTGCTGAAAGGCGGGCGTGTTTTGGTGCGGCCCTCGTTTGTATATATGTAAACATGTTTGTTTTTCTTGTCCAACTTTAATTTAATGAAACTTGATACTGTACATGCTTGTACTAGGGGTTGAACGAGTATATAATTTTTAAACTCGACATTAACATAATAAAACCCGAGTAGAGCTCGAGTATTTGATGACGTCATAGATCTCAAGATACAAAAATAAATAAATAAATAAAACCGCAAAAAAAAAAAAGGTAATAATTTACAAAAAAAAAAGACCAACAAAACATTGGGAGCGTATATTATGCTCCTACCATTTATCATACTGCAAATAAGTCACAAGAAAAACTAAACTATTAGTTATTATTATTAAACTGCAAACATGAAGAAACGCAGCACGTCAAAAACAAAACTTAAACCGAAACTGGTTCTGGTTCGGTGGATTGGACCCGGTGTTGCACCATAGTCTGTGACCTGCAACAGTGCAACACCGCCCCCTACGGTCATACGGTGGTCACATAATATGACGTCACTACGGATACTCGATGTTACATTTTTAACCTCGATAGAGGTCCTAGCAATCGATGTGTAGATTACTCGAGTACTCTGTTAATGCCCTAGTTTGTCCAAGGTCAAGGTGACAGGTCAAGGTCAAAGTTTATACTAACTCTTTGCTATAGCTTGAGTCTAATGGTTTGTCGGCGGGTGTGATGCGTCGTACTCTTGTTTTATTTCTTCACACTCGCTCTGAATGGGATGTGTAATTTTTACACCACCAGCTGAGCTGATTTAATGTGGATTTATGTTTTTATTTGCCACAACAAAGACGTTAACTTTAATTTGGTTTCTGTTTTCATTTTGTCTTGATTATTTGGAAATATTGTCTTTAAGTTTTAGTTCTGCATCTTTTACTTTTTTTGTTGTCTGCGCTGCCAGTTGAAGTCGTCCTAATGGCGACCCCGATCTGTCAAATGGTTCCAGCTTTCTGTTCTTCCAGTGGGTCCAAAAACAGAAACATGAAGATGAAATCACAAAATTCCTCTTTTAAATACATTTATCCAAAAATTACAGAACGTATTTGTCGGGGAGTTTTGGTCAAGGTTTATGGATGTTTGTAACTATGGCTGAGAATGCTAACTGCCCATGAACCATGTGTTTGAGTTAACAGAGAGCTCTTTACTCTCTCAGAGAGAGCTGATTTGATCCTGCATGTGCAGCCGAGTGGTCGAGGTCATCGGTGACTGTCTGAGCCGAGAGCTGATAAGGTTATAAAAAACAAGCCTCGCACGCTGCCCGGTGCAGATTCTCGTGACTGGGCTCCACGATGTAGAACTTTTTATTCATCTGTGTAATGTCCGTTTTATTTTATTTTTATTCCATTTTCTTTCATTTGTTCTTCTCAATTTGTACGCTTTCTTTTACGGTTGTCTGTTGTTGTCCACTGTTGTCATCACTCTTTGTTAAAGTTCAGGTCTCTCTTGTAAATGAGTCCCTGGGGCTCAGTGGGATTGACCTGTTTAAAAGAAGGTTGAATGAAAGAAAAGTCTGCCCTTGCGAGTAAAACCAGTTAAAATCTTCTCGTGTCCACGAGTGCGGCTTCTTTAAGAAGAATAGAAGATATTTTTATTCAACAAAATAAATTCCTCATCTCCATCTTCTACAACTTTCAAAACAAGAACAGACCTGTCAACAGTTTTCTTTCTCTCTCACATAATCCTAAATCCCTGCTGTGTCAACTCTTTAAAACAAAGTTCTCTTTTAAACGGAGGGAATAAAAAGATCCACGAACCCCGACCCGGATGGAGCACAAAGCAGCCCCACCTGTGGTGGTTTAAGGTGTGGCACCAGCTAGACGGATCTTCAGTTAATGCTTTATTTATTT